AAAGCTTTCGAAAACTAAAAACAAAAGCTCAAATAAATATCTCATTTCAGCATTATCTTAAAAAAAAAAATCAAGGTTCTTTTTTTTTTTTTTTTTTGAGACAGAGTCTCTCTTTGTCACCCTAGGTAGTGTCATGGTATAATAACTCACAGCAACTTCAAACTCTTGGACTTGCCTCAGCCTTCCAAGTAGCTAGTACTACAGGCACCCCCCACAATGCCTGGCTATTTTTAGAGACAGTCTTGCTCTTGGTCAGGCTGCTCTGGAATCCATGAGTTCAGGCAACCCACCCGTTTCAGCCTCCCACAGGGCTTAAGATGATAGGCGTGAGCCACCGAGGCTGGTCTCCTAATTTCTTAAATGGGTGAAAAATATGAACAAAGGAAGACACATAAATGGCCAATAACCCTGTGAATAAATATTCATATTATTATAGTCATCAGGAAAGAGGAAACTAAAACTGCAATTAGATTAACACCATACAACTCACCAGAATGGCATAAATTCAAAAGACTAAGAACACCAAATGCTGTTGATGATATGGCGCAACTGGAATCTTTATTCTTTTCTTAGCAATATAAAAAGCTACATCACTTTGGAAAAAGTTTTGGCAGTTTCTTATAAACATATACCTACCCTTTGACCCAAGTGATGCTATTTCTAGGTAAATGCCTAAGAAAAATGAAAAAATATATCTACAAGAAGTGGAATTTCACAGCAAACTGGCGACAATTAAAAGTTCATTAACAAGAGAATGGATAAAAAAATTGTGTTATAGTTACAGATTGGAATGAATACTACTAAGCATTAATGTATTGACTATAGATACAACAATAAGGATGAATCTCAAAGACCTGATTCTAAGCTAAAGGTTCTAGAAACAAGAACATATACTAGCTTTCACAGTCATTGCAATACATTAGGCTCCATAGAGACAGTGCCGGGGCAAGTGAGAGCCAGACGGGTGACTCTGCCTCGCTGAGGAAAAATAACTAAACATGGGCAAAGGAGATCCTAAGAAGCCGAGAGGCAAAATGTCATCATCTGCAGTCTTTGTGCAAACTTGTCAGGAGGAGCACAAGAAGAAGCACCGAGAGCTTCAGTCAACTTCTCAGAGTTTTCTAAGAAGTGCTCAGAGAGGTGGAAGACCATGTCTGCTAAAGAGAAAGGAAAATTTGAAGATATGGCAAAGGTGGACAAGGCCTGTTATGAAAGAGAAATGAAAACCTATATCCCTCCTAAAGGGGAAACAAAAAAGAAGTTCAGGGATCCCAATGCACCTAAGAGGTCTCCTTCAGCCTTTTTCTTGTTTTGTTCTGAATATCGCCCAAAAATCAAAGGAGAACATCCCAGCCTATCCATTGGTGATGTTGCAAAGAAGCGGATGACAGCAGCCTTATGAAAAGAAGGCTGCAAAGCTGAAAGAAAAATACGAAAAGGATATTGCTGCATACCAAGCTAAAGGAAAGCCTGATGCAGCGAAAAAAGGAGTCATTGAGGCTGAAAAAAAGCAAGAAAAAGAAGGAAGAGGAGGAAAGGAGGAAGATGAAGACGAAGATGATGAATAAGCTGGTTCTAGAGAAGTTTTTTTCCCTAGTCTATAAAGCATTTAACTCCCCTGTATACAACTCACTCCTTTTAAAGAAAAAAATTGAAATATAAGGCTGTGTGAGATTTGTTTTTAAACTGTACAGTGTCTTTTTTTGTATAGTTAACACACTACCAAATGTGTCTTTAGATAGCCCTGTCCTGGTGGTATTTTCAATAGCCACTAACTTTGCCTAGTACAGTATGAGGGTTGTAAATTGGCATGGAAATTTAAAGCTGTGTTGATGCACAGCACAAATTAGTTACATATGGGGATGGTAGTTTTTTCATCTTCAGTTTTCTCTGATGCAGCTTATACAAAATAATGGTTGTTCTGTTAACTGAATACCACTCTGTAATTGCAAAAAAACAGTCTGCAGCTGTTTTGTTGACATTCTGAATGCTTCTAAGTAGATACAATTTTCTTTATTAAAAAAAAAAAGAAAGGGCTTGGCGCCTGTGGCTCAAG